TCACCTATTTTCAACATCTGTTTTCTCAAAAACAGGAAACAGAAATGAAAGTAAACAGTAAGTACTCCTTCCTAATTCTCGACCGAACCGAAATTATGAATACCGAGTCCCCGAATTCTCCCAAACCTCAAACCGAATTCGAGCCGAATTATAATTCGGTCGGTCGGTTTAAACTAAATTATAATTCGATTCGGTTCGGTTTTTAACACAAAATGAATTTGTGAGGCTACTTGTATATTCTCACTTTTAAATTATTTTTCACTCCTAATATAAACAATAAATATGCAATTATATGCATAATCAATGATAAAATCAAACTTTTCAACACATAATTCATAAAACATTTCAAATATTTAAGTATAAAAACAACTACAAATATAAAAATCCACCATTTGGAGGTTGCAATTGTAGTATTTCGGTTTTTCGGTCGGAAATTTGGAATTTCGGTTCGGTTGAAAGAACCCTGATTTCCGAAATATCTATATTTTCCTTCCGAATTCCAAACCGAATAGCATTATTTTGGTTTCGGTTTCGGTTCGGTTTACCGAACCGTTTGCCCACCCCTAGGTGCTAGCGAAGAACATCTTTATAGTATTGGGTAGATTCAATATTCCTTCCTACCCAAAAAAAATTCAATATTCCAATCGTTCATTTCGCGTAAACCATTCTTTTCTGGTATTCTTTTACTTGATAATTTCAACCAACTTAAAGAAAATAACTGTGGAAATAGATTCAACTAATTAGAATCATCGGTAGGTTCAGTGGTGAGCCCAAAGCCAAATGGAAAAAGTGGGTCATAATGTTCATCCCCCACATTCATAGGCAATTGATCCACACTCTTAAACCATGTCCTGGGAAGCTTCCCACTGAACCCATAGTTACCAAACAACACATCAGCAACACCTTGACCTTCAGTTCCAGGCAGCCATGCCGCAACCAAACCATCGATCCACTTCAAATACGGCTCGATTACCACCGGCCGACCAGAGACAACCACCACCACGCACTTCACAGCTCTGCACACATTCTTGATCATGGTCGGACCCGGTTCAGGAATCGTCAGGTTCATATTGTCCCCTTTTGTCTCTGCATAAGGAAGCTCCCCAACCACGACAATGGCATAGGAGAAGCCCTCTGACCGGAGATATTTTGTGTCAGGATTTTCCTGATACACAACCTGACTGCTCTGTTTATCCACCGTGTTCATTATGGCATTCATGATTGTTGTCCCGACGGTAGCGTTGTTGCCGCTTTGACCTTGCCACTGTATCGTCCATCCACCACACTGGTAGCCCAAATTGTCTGCGTGAGTCCCGGCCACGAGTATCTTTGATCCTTTCTTTGGAAGAGGCAGCATTGAGTTGGTGTTTTTCAGTAATACGAGTGATTTCCTGACAGCTTCTCTGCCTAATTCCCTGTGCTCGTGGCTTCCCAAGTGATTGACGAGGGTTTCGTCCGCTAAAGGATTTTCGAACAAACCCATTGTGAATTTGACTCGAAGAACTCTCCTGACTGCATCGTCGATCCTGGACATGGGGATTTCGTGGTTCGTAACCAGCTGGTTTAAGTCGTCGATGAACTCTTTGTACTTCATCGGAACCATGATCTGCAAAAACAGAGGATTCATATCAAAACCTTATCGTTGATTAAGTCCAAATCGCAACGATTCGAAAGCATCAGAAATGTGTAATGTATTGATGATTGGGTATCGAATTACCATGTCGATTCCAGCATTGATTCCTCTAAGAATAGAGTTCGAGTAGTTGGCATGACGTGGAGAGGTCATCCTGTCAAGTCCCTCCCAGTCGGTAATCACAAATCCCTGAACTCAGAAACCATTTCAAGACACATCAATTAGCCACAATCTCTTGCAAGGTCATTTTTAGCACAAAATTTACTCGATTCTGGTTTTCGGGGTTAATATTACCCTGAAACGAAGAGTGCCCTTGAGAAACCCAGTGATGAGGTCACGGTTGCCATGCATCTTATCACCATTCCAGCTCGAGTAAGACACCATGACAGTTGAAACCCCCTTGATAATGGAGGCATAGTAGCCAGGCATGTGGATGCTGAGCAATCCGTGCCTGCTTAGGATTGTGTTGTTCTCGTTGATCCCATTGACAGTTCCACCATCTCCCACGTAGTGCTTTGCGCAAGCTGCGACTTTCGTCTTGCCGCCAACATATGGGACACCTTTGGGAGAAGTGGAAGGGATGTCTCCTTGTAAACCTGTGACTATCTCTGTCATTGATCTCACCACCTCTGGATCTTCACTGTAGCTCTCGTAGCATCTGCCCCATCTCGGGTCTCTGCATACCTGCCGATTCATTTCAAACACGCCTGCTCGATCAGTTTGTTCGTAAATAGATTTTTGAAATCGTTATGTAAGTCTAACAATTCTGTTTTTTTTTTAAACATTATATGATTATATCAGTGTCAATTTGTACCGCAGTGTGTTATACGATGTCAATTTGGATATGTGTTTGTATTCTTGCTCTCGTTATTTGTCAAATTAAATAAATCCCAACGTTCGTAAAAAGAAATCGTTTTTACTTACTGCTACACAAGGAGCAAAAAGATATGGAATGCCTGTAGCTCTGGCTTCAAGTGCTGTTGCTGCTCCAATTCTCTTGACCAGTTCAGGATCCCTGTCAAAGTTACAAGGAAAAGTTAGACCAATATTTCACAGAATAAGACTAAAGAAGTAACATGTACGTACAGATTAATGTCATCTAATCGTTGTTTTTTTATGTTTTTTTATTCGTTAGATCAACGCGTAACTGATCGAAAACACATCAATCCAGTACATACCCGCACCGTTTCGACGTTCTATCAAAATTCTGAAAATTGACGAGTGTTTGACTTGCCTTGTAGCTCCGAGGCCGATATTGTGAGGGAAAATGGTGGCGTTGTAAACAGTGCTGTGGCCATGAACAGAATCAATCCCATAAATCATCGGAATCCCTAGCCGAGTGGAGAGAGCATCTCTCTGGAACTGGTTCACCATTTTAATCCATTCCTGAGCTGAAGCATTTACCCCGGGACTGCTCCCTCCTCCACTCAACACGCTACCTACACACGGTGACAGTTTATCGGGTAAAATTCCGGCGCAGTAAAAACTGCGAAGTTAACCTGGTAAATGTCACCTGGGTTGCGGTGCTTGCCACCTGACTAAAATTCAATAAAAAGAAACAATGCAAATTACCGATGAAGTAATTCTTCATGACTTGAGGCGAGGCAACAGTGCGCTCAATCTGAACCATCTGGCCGATCTTTTCCTGCAGCGTCATCCTGTTCATTAGATCCCTTATCCGGGCATTCGTGGGCTGCTTCGGATCTCTGTACTTGATGTAATCTGCCGCGGCTAAGGCCGGCCAGAGAATAACTAGGCCGGCCAAGAAGAACAAGTAGCTTCTCCTCGCCATTGAGCCACTCGTAACTCTGAAGAAATGGCTAATTAAGACTGAACAATTTGCAGAAAAGGAACATGGAAAGGGTAAGAGAGGGACAGAGAAGGAAGAAACAGAGCAATGAATCTCTGTTTTCTATCTGTTGGCAATTTATAGGGGTCTCCAACCCATCTCCCTGCCCCTTCCTGAAAAGAGCATTTTGGTTTTCATGAGTATTATTTAATGCAAGTATCATTGAAATTGTTCATGAAAATGTGAGAGAAGAGTTTATAACAAATGATATTGCAAATCTATTTCCTAGTCGATAAATATGGCTCATGAAACTTAATCATTCCTCACTTAATGAAATTAAGGTTTTGTTATTAAGGACACGATTATGATTATGTGTGGCATTGTCATTATAGTGGTAATTACCCAGTTCACTTGAAAACGATCTCAGATTTTACATTCGAGTATCATGATCTCTCACCTAAACTCTTCTAAACACAACAGAAGAGTATAGTTGTATGCGATAACTTGATAACAGTAAAAAAAAAAATATGTTGTGGATCGATATTGAAATTCCATTAATATAGTTTGTGTAGTAATGTTATATAAATAATCAACCTTTTTCACGATAACAGTTAAATTAAACTAATGAAACTTTGGCCTTCATTGGAAGCCATTAACGAGACCATAGCTTTAGTTATTTTGGGGTATGCGTGAAGAGAGGAAAGCGATAGTAAGTTAAACAATTGATCACAAAAATTTGACCAAGTCTGTCGATTGGAATGTCGATTGTTTTGAGTTGGGTTTGGGCTGTATAGCCAAATGGGGATTGCACTTTTTTTTTTTTTTTTCTGATTTCAATCTTCGCGCCATCTGGCTTTGTATTGGCAGCTTTTGTCTAGGAACTCCAGAACACTACAATTCCCATCAACGCATAGGGTCAACGGGAGATGTTCACAACATCGTTATTTGGATGCAGCGTTTGTCTTCATCTTAGGAGGGCTACAGAGTTTGTGATTCTCTAATGTGCACCTTCAAAGGTTAACAAATTCGTAAAGACAGACATGCATGGAATGGGAAGGAAGGAAGGAACTCTTTCACCAGCAAGAATGGAAAGTGACATCTGCTTTGGACTTTTTCCTTCTATCCCCGCATTTGGACTTTCTATCTTTCACTAAATTCTAGAGGTGTCCATTGTGCTGGTTCAGGTTGGTTTTATTTGGGTTATGGGTTAGTCGGATTTTGAGATTATGGTCATTTGAGTTAAGGGAAATCGCTCATAACTGGAGATGTGAGTTTAGCGGATATACGGTCAATCGGATTACGAGATATCGTTTGCGGGTAAAGGGCACTTCGGATCAATCCATTAGGTTACTTTTTTTTTTTTGCCAAAGATATTCTGGAACCGAGTAACTGCTTGTTAACAAGATATGGGAAGCCCTATTGTACCTACGAGGCGCAAAGGGAAAGGAAGCACACGGGAGATGATCTCAACACCTGAACTTCTCTTAGAATTACACCTCCCAAAACGTGAGGTGAATCATTAGAGTTAATCGGCTTGATGATCACAAGGCAAAAAAGACATGTGCATCATCACAATGATTATTGGTATGTTCTTTATTACACTAAATTGTTTACATTGGCTAAAATTTTACATTGATATGCCAAAGGAAACTGTAACACCCTAATTGGATCAAGTATTACTTGCACTAAAAGGACATTGCTTAACCGTTAAACCAAAATAAGGATCGGAAGGACTTGAAAAAATAGTAGGAAACTATTCTTAGATATCCTTAATAAATACTTTGAAATTCAAATAATAATTTTTCGAAACTTGTAGGTGCCTAAATCATAAATATCTATAATAAATGTGCATCAAGTCCCTAGTCCTATTGAATACATGAGATCGAAAATCTTCAAAGTCCTCTGGAGCCTTGAACCTCATCGTGACTTGGTCATCACCCTTCGTGTGGTCTTGATGATCCTACAATTTCTGAGTGTGGATGTGGGATCAGTCCTAAATCCTAGATTCACTTTACTTGAGAGAAAAGTAACTTAACAATGCATACGTAAATCCACATGCTCACGCGATGCTCATGAGTCATAGATTGAAAATGTTTAGTTTACTTGGGAAGAATTTTCTCTAGAAGGGGCTTTGACCTCAACTTAACTAACTACTAGCCATTTAAACCACACAACGTACTATCAAACTGATTGACTTGAATAAACTGTCATCCCAGAATTGATCGTCCGTCCCTTCGAATAGTACCCACACAATACCGCTACATGAATAAACTAGCCTAATGAAACTACATCATCTTAATATATTTGGCTTGCCGAATTAGCTCTAATCAAAAGTTCACCCACAATTACTAATATGTTAACTTGTATTTCATCCCACCACCATGTTCCATTGTTCTACCACTAACCACTTTAATCTCACCGGCCAACAACATCTCATTAACACAAGTTTACCCTAAACCATGTTAATTCCTCGCTCGTCCACATAACCCATGCGCACGTTAAATGCCAACATCCAGAACGCTAACCATATTTACAGCACGGGACATCATTCCAAGTTCCACTGATTGAAGGCTGCATCTTCCGAAGTGATACCCCTCCCACAATTAAGCATATTACATGTCAATTGGGTTGTAAGTTCATTGAGTTACGGGTCAATTGGATTGTGAGTTAATAGAATTAGACATCAAGCAGGTTATGGTTAGGATGGCTTGCAGGTCATTGCTGTTAGCAAATTCGGATTGATCGGACTGGTTAATTAGGTCGGGTTCTGCTTTGATATATCTACTAAAATTCCAAGTTTTGGTGCTGTTGGAGGATAAACCAACGGGCCAAATCCCCGAGATGGGGCCCTTAAGGGTTCTGCAAAGCCCATTGGGAAACCCCGCAGTAGCCCATGAGTCGATCGACTTTATTGCCTACCCAACTGCTAGGTCAAGAATACCACCATTCCGCCTTTTCTCACCCTCGTTTCTCAAATGAAAGTTCCAGTCTGAGATCTCAATAATCGCAATTACTGAAAGGAAAGAAAACTGTGGAATTCAATCCAACAACCATAATACTTGCACATTTGAACTACCTAAACCACGTACAATTAACCAACAAACTCTACTGCTACTTCTACATAAGCCGATCAGACAACGACGGCAGCCTCCTGAAGAAATTCAGCGCCGGGGACGGCATCCGGTCCCGGAATATCGGATGCCGGAAGCAATAGAACCCAGAAGCCATCGCCACCATCTTCGTCGGCACCAGGTACAAAATCATCGCCACCACAAAGCACAGCCCAACAAAAATCCCCGTGGCCCGCGGATCCCGCCACGTCACCAGCGCCTGAACCCTCTCCCCTTGCGCCGCCAGATCCCCCAGCACCGTCTGCACCCTCGCCCCCACCGCCCTCAGCTTGTCGTACCTCGCCCTCACCGTCTCCGGCGACCTCCCGCTCGGCATCCCGTCGAACTCCTCGTCCAGCTCCTCCCTGTCCACCGCCTCCGCCAGCGACAGCTTCGGATCGAAGTGCGGCAGCGCCGCCTTCGACGACCGGAGGAACCGATAGTTCCACGCGCCGATCGCGAAAACGTAGAACGCCAGCGTCGGGACGATCAGATCCGGGAACCACACCAGCAAAACCAGCAGCGCGTGCACCAGCACCGTCGCCGTCGGATTCTTCCACACGCGCGTGTCGTCTATCCACCGCACGATGTCGATCACGCCCGCGATCACGTTGATGATCCGGACCCAGTTGGCACGCACCTTCCGCATGCTGAACGCGTGAGTGTCAGCGTCGAGCATGTGCAGTACGACCTCGCGCCTCATCGGCGGCTCCGATCGCGACAGGTGTACGGCTATGATCTTCACCGCGGTGCTCCTCAGCACCTCCTGCTGAACGACTCCGAGAGGCTTCACGTGGTGCATCAACGGTAGCAGAGGCTGGGTGTACACGTGGAGGAAATCCAGCGTCGGTGCGGAGCGGATGAATCTCACGGCAACTTCGATCTCGCCCATTTTCTTGACCCCGTTGTTGGTCAGCACAATCAACGGGTAGGAATTTCTGTAGACTTTGCCCGTCTCGAGGCTCGATATGCGAATCCGTACCTTCCCCATTCGGAGATCGGGACGCGTGGCGCTCTTCTCGCCCTCCGATTCACTCGCTCCTGAACTGTCAAAGATTCCCATGGTCAGCACAGTGGACGGATCAAACACTCGCCACGTGTACTGCTCGTTCCATCTCGGATCCAAGCTATCCGAAACGGTTCTCGTCCGGATCCACTTCGGCCCGTATTTGGCGACGCAGTACGCATCCGTACATCCCTTCCCGTCGATCGCTTTCATCGGCAGCAAGTTCCGGCATCCGATGATCCCGAGCTCCACCGTTCCGATCGGCGGCTTCCACAGCTGCCTCGCAGTCGGGCGGTAGTCGCTGCACACGTGCGCCGCCTCGTCCATCACATGATACCCGCCGTCGAAGCATAGCCGCAGTTGTACTCTCCCTTTGTACCTCGCCTTCTCGCTGTTCGGATCCTCAAAATTGAACCAACGCGCCGCCACTTGTCGGTCGTCGACCCTCCTCTCGATGGCCGTGAGCGGGATTCTCAAGACGGCGATCGGCGATGGTCCCTTGTGCTGCCGCGCTTCCAGTGTGAAGACCAGGTGGTCGGCGAACGGCTCGGCGGCGACGAAAAGTAAATCCTCGTTCCACAACGGTGTGCCGTTTCGTGTAAGTACGGATTTCGTCTTGTGAACTTGGAACCCAAGCTGAGCCCTCAAATGGAGCGACGCTTCTTTCAACGGCGCCGTTGAATGCAAAACGTCCTGAGCTTCGAGCACCGTGGCTCGGAGGTACCATAGCTTCGGAGAGAGGTAGACTTTGGCTCGGGAGTTCGTGTTGCCAGCTGTGTCGGTTTTCCACGCGTCGGGGAACGACTCGTCGGCTTGAGTTCCCACCCACGTGGCGAGCATCAAGTCCCCGCTGTGGGCTCCACCGCCTTCCAGCCTGTACCACTGCGGGGCCAAAGGGCTGTCCGGCGGATCTCGTAGAGGAATTTCCGTCACGTCGAAGCAAATCCCGCCCAAGAATTTCCCACGCGCCGCCGCATCCTCAGACCCACCACCGGGAGGCGAGTCCCAAACCGAGATCTCCAAAATGGAGGAGGAATCAGGTGCGTCGCGGCCGAAAGCAAACGTCTGGTCCCACTCGAAAAAGGCAGTTTTCCTCGCGGGCTTGGATTCGATGCGGCTGGCCGAGACTGCAATCCCTACAATCGGGTTCCCGTTGGTGGGGAGGTACCGAGCCTTCACCACCCGAACGAACACGTAATGCATCTTCTCCACCAGATCGAATGAGGAACGTTCGATCGAAATGCTCTCCTGCGGCTCCAGCGTGCTGGTCGGAGACAACGGCCTCGCGATCGGATGAGGACCGTTGATTGTTCCCGCTGCTGCCACTTTCACTTCCGGTACGGATCCGGTTACCTCTGACGCCATCAAATGATCATCCCCCGGAGTCGGACCCCAATTCGGCGTTGGCGGTTCCATAACGATGTCGTCTTCCTCAGTTTCCGCTTCTAATTCTGGCGGCGGCGGAGGAGGGTCGGCGGCGGAATTGTCTGGATCCTCTGTTTTGATCGGAGCCGGGGCGTTGTCTGGAGCAGGGGGATCCGGTGGCGGCTCTTCCCCCGGCTTCTCCTCAGATCCGGGTGGTTTTTCCTCAGCCGGTGTGGGTAGCGATTCTTCCTCTTTCTTGTCTTCTTCCTTGGCCGGCTCTGCTGCCGGATCCGCCGCCACTTGCGGCGGCTGGGGAGGAGGGGGAACATTGAGCACGTCGTCCTGGTAATAGATTCGCAATCCGATTTCGCCCTGAACCCAGCTAAAGAGATGCTTCTTCTCGAGAGTGTAGTAGATGAGGGCCTCCTCGCCTTTCCTGACGAACTGGGTGCAGCTGAGGCGAATCCTGCCGAGGAAATTGCTGCGGCGAGTGGGGCCGTAAGTCCGGTCGTGATAGACGTCGAGCTCGAGCATGTCGTCGAAGACGTTGGAGGGCTTGCCGACGTTGAAGTCGAGGGTCTCGTTCCATGTGGGATTGAGGTCGCGCGGGGCGGTCTGGGTGCGCTTCCGCTGGCCGTAGAAGTCGATGACGACGTAAGGACTGGAAGTGCCCTGCCCGTCTTTCGGCAGGAGGTTGCGAGCGTCGACCACTTCGACTACTAGTTTCTGGTTCCACGCCATGGCAGTGGCTTGGGGGGAACTACGTAGTGAAAGACAGAGAAAGGGAGGGAAGTAGAAGAGAGTAGAGATAGTGGGGGGAGGGAGGAATTAAAGACGGGTGCTTAACTTGATGTGCAAGAACACTACTTTTGGATCTCCATCAGCGCCCACGCAAAATCTGAGAAGAGTTTGCTTTCCGAACTTTGATTTATCAGGACGACGCTTTACTTTTTTTTCCTGCTTTTTGACGGTAGTTTATCGTAGGGATGCAAATGAGTCGAGCTGCGTTCGAATTGGAAAAAAGTTCGTTCGAAACTCGGCTCGTTTACTAATGAGCCGAGCTTGAGTTTGAGCTTAGCTTTCTACAACTCGCGGAGCTCGCGAACTAACTCTACTCGGTGGCTTGTTTAGCTCGACTTGTGAGCTGCCTCGTTTAGAGATCATGAGATGTCTCAACTCTCAATATTGTGCATGGCTAGAGAGCCAACTCGATTACCTAGTTATGAGCGAATCGATTTATATGAGTTTAATTTTGATAATTTATATAATATTTAAATCATATATCTCGCCATATATGAAGTTTAACGCGTAGATTATGTGAGCAAATATGTCTTATTTTATTTTAAAAATAAATTATGTATCATAGATTGCTTCGATACTATGAAATAACATCATTTTCAATAGTTAAAAGAGAAATTTTACAATGCTATATAGTATTGGTGCTATAGGATTTTGCCTTTATGATACAACTTAAAATTGTACATTTACGTTATGGTACAACTTTAGATTGTACCTATACTTTTTGTTCAAATTCTTTTATGGTACAACTTGGACTTGTACCTTTATGTGATGGTACAACTTCAAGTTATAAAGTTGTACCATAACATAATGGTACAAATTGCTTTATGGTACAACCTAAACTTATACATTTAATGTTATGGTACAACTTTAAGTTGTACATTAAAGCACCAATACTATATAGCATAGTAGAAGTGCTCATAGTTAAAATCTATTAACTAAATAATTTGATACCACAAAGTATAATATGCGATTAGTTCATATTGAACACTTAACTATTATTATCATTGTTTTCATCTTGACATTAATCACATGTATAATATATGACATATAAAATGAATGTATCAAATACGAGTCGATATTTTATTAAGCAAGCTAGCTCGAACTCAACTCGACTCGGCTCGTTAATAAATGAGCCGAGATCAAATTGTTTATTAACGAGCCGAACTCAAATTAGGGTAAAACTCGATTCGACTCAGCTCATTTACGGCCCTAAGTTAATGAGATTTGAGAGATTCTTTCAGCTTCTCTTTTTTTATCTACGGGAGGAAAGAAATGTTATGTGTAAGTTGCACTGCAGAACAAAGTACGGTTTTGATATAGCTCTCTCTATTATGGGGATCGAGCATGTATGTTAAAATAAACGACATCGACCCGGATCTCACTTTTTGCAGTTAACTTTAGTCTTTTTTTGAGCTGTTGTGGGTTGGGCAGATTTGAATTTTGGAAGGCTGATGGTGAAAGAAGCAGAGCATTACGCGTTTGCTTGATATGCTTTTTCCTTTCTCTTTATAGTTTATTATTCTGAGGAGTCAGGTGCTTTGGTTTGCTTTGTCTAGTAGATGGACATCATCCTGCCTATCTTTTGAGTCACACAGACCTTGAAATATTGAACGGCGGTGGTTAAATTCTTGGTCGGCGATGACATTTGGGCGCCACCCTGTATCCTCCTTTGGCCCATCTCTTTTGACAAAAAGAAAAGATGCATATGATGTTGATCAATATTCCACTTCCCCTTTCCCCCCAATTAGCTCATATTAAAAATCTCTCTCGAACTGAGCAAAGAATAATGGGGAAATGTGCATCGGACTGTGTGAGGGCGCGGCAAGACTGTTTTCCGTCCAATGGTTGAACAGGGTTTATCGCCTAATGATTTCGTTGGAATTGGATCAGTCATATGTAGGGCTATTCGTCGCGAGCTCGGCTAGTTAATATATTTCCAGACTCGAGCTCGGCTCGTGTTCGACTGTTCGTCACGAGCTTTAATATGCAAATTCGAGCTCGACTCGTTTATGAAAATGAAAACTCGACTTCGACTCGAGCTCGGCTCGTCAAATAAGTTTAACGAGCCCAAAATCGAGTTCAGCTCATACAATGTTCACGATAGCTCAAAATTGACCTAGAACTGAGCACAAAATTACATTCAAACTTGTAACAAAGTCTATCAAAGTAAAACACGATATTTATCCCAATTTCAATGCATAAAATCCATGATTCTAATCCTTTTTTTATGCCAAACCATTAAATGAGCTTGTTCGCGAGCTTTCGAGCTGACCATAGTATGACTCGAATTCAGCTCGTTTAGTTAGTATTTTATCATACTTGTTAGATGCCATGTCAAATAAGTTAATTGATGAGTTTAAAGTTTATCATATTATATGTTTGAATTAATTGTTAATATCAATGATTATGAGGATATGAACTGAATACCCATTGATCAAACCATACTATGATATTATGTCTGAAAATTAATTCACCACAATAATTTGAGATGTTATGAATGACCGAAATATAAATATAAATGTTAAGAGTGAATTGCAAGTTAAGTCAATTGATTTATCAAAATAATGTTTCGCGTTTGCCTCTCAAAATATTTTCTTTTGGTGTTGGTCATCGACTTTAAACTTTTGTTTCATCATTAGTCACCGGTTATCCGATTCTGTTAGGTTTGCGCTAGGTGGCAGCCAATTATGACGTTTAACAGTTAATTATCTTATGTGGCAATTTAAAAAATTAAAAAATAATAATTATACACCACATGCCACCATCGCTCAATGTGTCAATTAATTTGAAAAAAAACCCACTACAACCCTTGGATTGGCGGAGAGTATCATCTCCGTTCCCTACCGCCGATGTGGGTTATGTAACACCCTAGACCGGCCGGTCATTAAATTTACCAAAATGCCCTTGAGAATCAAAATAAATCATTTGTCTTGAAAAAGGAGAAACAACGAAAAATTATCCATAACTAAAATCCAAATCTCAAAAAGAACAATCCTTGTCAATTCAACATAAACGAGCATCTGTCTCAAGTCTACTAAAAGGAAATTCATTAAGTAAAAGGTGCCTTTGGTGAAGCTTTTTCGGCCACTAACCCTTCTGATGACATCCTGAGCAGCATGGTGCTCCAGCGGCTGGTTTGTGCGTTCCTGCTCCCTAGTAGCTCCTAAGTGCGGGTGTGGGGTCAGTCCTAGGTGCAATTTATCTTAAAATAACGTGATAACTACTCAGCGACTTAGGAGGAACAAAAACAAGAACTGGAATACGCGTGATAAAGAAATCTCATTTAGCTTGCTTGAAAAGGGGCCCCGAACTCAACCTAACTAGCGCCACTGTTCGAACACCTAAACGTGATAAACTTGATAAACTTCCTCACAATGGGAAGGGAACCTGATAAGATCAATAACCTGATAAACTTCCTCACTATGGGAAGGAAACCTGATAAGATTGATAACCTGATAAACTTCCTCACTATGGGAAGAAAGGTGGTCGTGTCCGCAACTAGTTAGTTAAGTTTTAAAACATGATCTTGCTTGTTAACGGGCAACCATGATAGCTTGAAACTTAAACATGGAAAACCAGTAAAACATCCATAATCGAAAGCATAGAGAAACATACACATAACTTGAAAATTAAATCCAGCCCCCTTTAACCACGCACCTTAGTTACTTAAGTCTGAACTCGGAAGACAACTCCAGGTAGGTGCTCCAACTGGTAATTCGCATTTATGAACCTATGGCGGAATCCGATGTTAGATCGGTGGGATTTTCGAGTTCTAGCGACGGCTTCCATGGCTTGGGACTACCTCGCGATATTTGCGAGGTAAGGGCTTGCTAATTCATTATTAATTTGACTTGCGAAATTTCCTAATATCTTGAACATATTATTGAATTTTACTATCCATTAAGTATTTTTAAGAAGCTTGATAAAACAAGAATTTAAAATATGCTAACTACTAAAATATATATATATATATATAAAGAATTTCGTTATAACTTATTAACTAACTAGTATCGTATTTATAATTGGTCTATATAAATTAAGACATATTAACTAACAAATCAATCACAAACTCAATTTACCTATACGGTCCATGGTTTTACTTCCTAAGTCTTGGATTAGTAATTTATAAATTACTAATCACTACCACTCCAATTGTTTGGTTTATGTAAGAATCAATTTTATCAAATAGCAACTTTGGGGTGTTTCTGGTAAAATACCAAAGTTCAGGGACCAAATCAATTGCATTTAAATCTAAGGGGGCTGATCTAGAAATTCCCAGAAGTTTTAGTGACAGCTCAAAATCCGTCACTAAAGCCCTGTAAATCCCATCGCTAAAACTCCTAAACAAGCATGAACGCATATATCCATATTTGATTCATGTTAAACGTTGGGGATTCGATACCTTACCTCCAACACGACTCCACAACCGTATTTGATGATCCCGAGCGTAGGTCTCCCCTTGCTTGAACGTTGTTTAACCTCCCGCAACGTCGACGTCGAAGCTAGGATCAAATATACGTGCTTTGGGTTATTCAAGGCTTAAACCGAGCTTGGAGACCAGTTGGGATCGAGATCATTACCACTTGAGGTCAAGGAGAATGAGTGAATTCGAGGGTGTTGGTTGGGTCGATCGGAGAGAGGATGAGTTCGGCGGCTGGCGTCTACATTCCTCCCGTCGCCGCTGTTGACATTATGAAGAAACCATGAATCGGTTAGCTAAAGCCCGACCTGGGATTGGAAAGGAAAGTCAGTGCCGCCATTCTTACCTCCTAGGACGCGATCGGACGAGCTGGGGGCAACGGAACGACAATGCGGTTGCGGCGCGGGGAGGTGGCGAGAGATGGCGGAGCACTTCTTCTTGCCTCTACTCACGCCGGTGATTCGCGGTTGGGTCTTACACGACGGAGGTGGGATGGAGTTTGCGGCGGCTTGGATTTTGGTTCCATAAATTTTAGTTTTAAGTTAATCTAAAGGGAAAGTGTGAGCCGAGGGTGGGAGAGGCTTAGCTAGGGTTAATTGCATTGAAAAGGGTATTTTAGGAAGCACAGGGGTATGAGTGTATCGGGTGTGACATTTCCCTCTCCCTTAAGAAAATTTCGTCCTCGAAATTGAGGTCATAAGACTAAATAAAGGTATACTAGTCTCCACTCTTATTACCGCCGACTTAATAACATGTTACTAAATCTACCGATTACAAGGGTATATCGAGAAACAACTCAGGATATTTCTTCCTCATATCCTCCTCGATCTCCCAGGTAGCCGCTTCTATGCCTTGGTTCCTCCACACCACCTTCACCATAGGGAACTTCTTCCTTCGTAGTTCTTTATCCTGGCGGTCAATAATCCCAACCGGTTCCTCCGTATAGGTCATATCACTATCGAGTTGGATATCTTCCAACCTAACAATGTGGGTGGGATCTGATTTGTACCCCTTGAGCATACTAACATGGAAGACATTATGGATCTTGGACAAGTTTGGAGGTAGTGCCAATCTATAAGCCAGAGGGCCCACTCGCTCCAGCACTTCGTATGGCCCGATGTATCTAGGGCTCAATTTGCCCTTCTTGCCAAAACGCATAACTCCCATCTTTCTTCTTCACGAAGAGCACTGGGGCTCCCCATGGGGATATACTGGGGCGAATGAATCCCTTGTCTACCAGTTCTTGCAATTGCTCCTTTAGCTCCTTGAGTTCTACTGGCGCCATTCGGTATGGTGGTATGGAGATTGGGGCAGTACCCGACACCACTTCGATGTCAAACTCAATCTCTCTCCTCGGAGGTAACCCATGAAGATCTTTTGGAAACACGTCAGGAAACTCATTCATGATTTCCACCTCTTAGAATTTAACCTCTGGTGTCGCCATAACGTAGGCCAAGTAAGCTTCACACCCATCATGGATTAGCGAGAATGCGGTGGTTGCAGATTTTAGGCTCGTTGGAATGGCCCTCCGTATCCCCTTGAATATCGCTACTCATCTTCCTTCTATGTCAAACCGAACCTCCTTGTTAAAACAGTCCACCAACGCTCTGTGCTTGGATAGCCAGTCCCTCCCCAAGATGGTGTCAAACTCACCAAAGGGAAGCAACATGAGATTTGCCTCCAGCTCATACCCGGCAACCATGACTATGCACTCCCTGACTATGGAGTCCACAAAACGTATCACCCACCGGAGTACGTACCCCTAGGTTCTGGTTAAGTTTCGTAGGAACTATGCCTAAGGTTCTAGCAAATGCAATAGATATAAAAGTATGCGTAGAACCTCAGGATCAATCAAGCAAAAGAAGGACGGTCATGAATGTAAATCGTACCAGTCACAACCTCTGGGGTTGTGTTGGCCTCTTCTCTCCTCATGGAAAATATCCTAGGTTGCCCACCAGCATTGGACGCATGAGTCAGAGCACGATGGTGGTAGCTATTGTTGTTTCTGCTGACATTGTCTGCCTTTCCATTGAACCTCCCAGCTGACTGTGCTCTCCCTCTAGTAACTGAGGCACCTAACATCACCCTTGTGTATCAAGGACAGTTTGCCTTGATATGACCTAGCTGGCCACAATGAAAACAAAGGCCTGGCTGACGTATGCACTCTCCCGGATGATACTTCAAGCATTTCTGACAGAACGGGTTCTGGTACTGTGCGGGTGTAGTCTGGGTGGAGCTCGCCTGGCTCTGTGACTTCTGCTGAGTGAAGGACCTAGCCCCCTCTTAATAGGCTGGATTGAGTGCATCTGACCTCCAGAGTAGGTGGACTCCTTCCTTGTCCTAGTATCCAGTCTGCTAGCCCTCTTCTGCTAGGCTGTCTTCTCATCCCTCTCAATGCGGAGAGCAGCTCGATAGGCTGTGGCTTGAGATGCCCTTTCCGCTTCTCCCATACATTTCTTCAGATCCGCCCTCAAACCCTGGATATAGCGATCTCGCACCCCTGCTGGAGTCCGATACACAGGATCAACATATTTGTTCAACTTCTTGAACAACTCTGTGTATTCCGTGACACTCTGCCCCCTGTGTTGCTTCAGCCTCATAAAATCTTCTCTCTTATCGTCCCGGACTGTTTGGGGAATGTATTCATCAAGGAACATCTTCACGAACTGGTTCCAGGTGATCTCTATCGGTACAACTTCACTCTCTGGTTGGAGGTGCCACCAATCTCTAGCAGTTCCCTGGAGCACGTGGACAGCCATGGCGATTCTGTCCTCATGGTTATCGATGCGCAGCTCGTCTAGGGTGCGAGCGAGCTTCAGCAGCCATAAATCAACCACCTCAGGGTCGGAGGATCCCTCAAAGTCCTTAACACCCATCTTCCTAAGTGCAACATAGTTCGGAGGTGGGTGCCGACCAACTTGCTGAGAGCTTTCACCATTCATACTCCTACATAAGGTAAGATAGAGGGAGACCAGGCTCTGATACCAAAATGTAACACCCTAGACCGGCCGCTCATTAAATTTACCAAAATGCCCTTGAGAATCAAAATAAATCATTTGTCTTGAAAAAGGAGAAACAACGGAAAATTATCCATAACAAAAATCCAAATCTCAAAAAGAACAATCCTTGTAAATTCAACACAAACGAGCATCTGTCTCAAGTCTACTAAAAGGAAATTCATTAAGTAAAAGGTGCCTTTGGTGAAGCTTTTTCGGCCACTAACCCTTCTGATGACATCCTGAGCAGCAATGGTGTTCCAGCGGTTGGTTTGTGCGTTCCTGCTCCCTAGTAGCTCCTGAGTGCGGGTGTGGGGTCAGTCCTAGGTGCAATTTATCTTAAAATAACGTGATAACTACTCAACGACTTAGGAGGAACAAAAACAAGAACTGGAATACGCGTGATAAAGAAATCTCATTTAGCTTGCTTGAAAGGGGCCCCGAACTCAACCTAACTGGCGCCACTGTTCGACCACCTAAACTTGATAAACTTCCTCACAATTGGAAGAGAACCAGATAAGATCAATAACCTGATAACCCTAATAAACTTCCTCACTATGGGAAGGAAACCTGATAAGATTGATAACCTGATAAACTTGATAAACTTCCTCACTATGGGAAGAAAGGTGGTCGTGTGCGCAGCCAGTTAGTTAAGTTTTAAAACATGATCTTGCTTGTTAACGTGCAACCATGATAGCTTGAAACTTAAACATCTAAAACCAGTAGAACATCCATAATCGAAAGCATAGAGAAACATACACATAACTTGAAACTTAAATCTAGCCCCCTTTAACCACGCACCTTAGTTACTTAAGTCCGAACTCGGAAGAGAACCCCAGGTAGGTGCTCCAACTGGTAATTCGCCTTTATGAACCTATGGCGGAATCCGATGTTAGATCGGTGGGATTTTCGAGTTCTAGCGACGACTTCCATGGCTTGGGACTACCTCGCGATATTTGCGAGGTAAGGGCTTGCTAATTCATTATTAATTTGACTTGAGAAATTTCCTAATATCTTGAACATATTATTGAATTTTACTATCCATTAAGTATTTTTAAGAAGCTTGATAAAACAAGGATTTAAAATATGCTAACTACTAAAATATATATAAAGAATTTCGTTATAACTTATTAACTAACTAGTATCGTATTTATAATTGGTCCATATAAATTAAGACATATTAACTAACAAATCAATCACAAACTCAATTTACCTATACGGTCCATGGTTTTACTTCCTAAGTCTTGGATTAGTAATTTATAAATTACTAATAACTAGCACTCCAATTATTTAGTTTATGTAAGAATCAATTTTATCAAATAACAACTTTGGGGCGATTCTGGTAAAATACCAAAGTTCAGGGACCAAATCAATTGCATTTAAATCTAAGGGGGCTGATCTGGAAATTCCCAGAAGTTTTAGTGACGGCTCGAAATCCGTCACTAAAGCCCTTTAAATCCCGTCGCTAAAACTCCTGAACAGGCATGAACGCATATATCCTTATTTGATTCATGTTAAACGTCGAGGATTCGATAACTTACCCCAACACGACTCCACATCAGTATTTGATGATCCCGAGCGTAGGTCTCCCTTTGCTTGAACGTCGTTCAACCCCCCCGCAACGTCGACGTCGAAGCTAGGATCAAATATACATGCTTTGGGTTATTCAAGGCTTAAACCGAGCTTGGAGACAAGTTGGGATCGAGATCATTACCATTGGAGTTCAAGGAGAATGACTGAATTTGAGAGTGTTGGTTGGGTCGATCGGAGAGAGGATGAGTTCGGCGGCTGGCGTCTACGTTCCTCCCGTCGCCGCTGTTGACATTATGATGAAACCATGAATCGGTCAGCTAAAGCTCGACCTGGGATTGGAAAGGAAAGTCAGTGTCGCCATTCTTACCTCCTGGGACGCGATCGGACGAGCTGGGGGCAACGGAACGACAACGCGATTGCGGCGGGGGGAGGTGGCGAGAGATGGCGGAGCACTTCTTCTTACCTCTACTCACGCCGGTGATTTGCGGTTGGGTCTTACACGATGGAGGTGGGATGGAGTTTGCGGCGGCTTGGATTTTTTATTATTATTTCTGAGTGATATCAATGGAAAATAATAGTTAAGCTTACAATTCTACCCAGGACCCCTAAAAGACTCTAAAGAAGCCACCCCAAAAATCAAAAGATTCTAGCTCTACACGAGACAAAAGCAGTGCTTTACGCGCCACTCTATGGGTAGCACTGATGGCGGATCTAGGTACCGCCCTAAACTCTATACAAACAGACAAAGAGCTAAGGATCAAAAGACAATCTCGTAACACCGGACCACCAATCGAGTCTTCTAAGACGCCTTGACGGACTTGGTTGACGACCACTTCGCAGTCACCTTCGACTATCTCGTGGGCCAAGCAATATCCCTTGATGTTGCAACCCGAACGCCAACATCACATGCCCGTCTGACCCACGGATAATAAGCTCATACGAACACCCGGAGGCACAAACAGCTGTGTCGACGTTGATCTTCAAAAAGCCTTCTGGTGGAGAGACCCAAGTGGTGGCAGGAAGGATTCGAAGTAGAGAGCGGCGGGGAGGAGGGGGAAGAAGAAGATTGGAGATTTCGAGGACCTGGTTGTAGAACTGTCTGGCTAGGGTACGGACATGAGGTTGGATAAATTCAAAGGTCACTTTATTTTTAGACTTCCAGATTCTCCAAAGTAAACAGACGCATTGGAGAATGTGGAATGGGGAGGTCTCGGAGACCATGACATGTCGCCACCATAGACTAAAGTTAACAGTCTGGGCGGTCTCAATAAAGTTGCTCAATCCCACTAAAGTCCACAATCTGATGGCTAAGGGGCATCTGAATAATAAAAGTTCAATGCTTTCTCGATGTCTCCAGCAGACAGGCCATCGGTTAAGGCAGTTTACTCCACGAGTTTGATGGGCCACTACTGTGGGAAGTATGACTTTGAGGCATTGCCATATGAAGAAAGAATATGAATACAATTAATATGGTAACAATTAATTTCATAATTATCCATTGGTCCCAATTAATATGAAAAATGGACAAAGACGGAAATGTTACTAAATTCCTTAATTAATCATCCAATTCCTCCATATTTCAAATCCCAACCATAAAATAGACACTGGATTTGTTTTACTGCACTAGCCCAATAAATTAATTAATTCTGAAAGTCAGAAATTAATTATGAACGTCAGAAATTAATTCTTTCTATCCCATAATTTGATATATAAACCAACCATAAAGGTTGTAAAGCGCCATAAAAGGACATCTTTAGTGACTCATTAATCACTTGTAACGGATCATTAAAGACGTCAGAAATTAATTCTTTCTATCCCGTAATTTGATATATAAACCAACCATAAAGGTTGTAAAGCGCCATAAAAGGACAGCTTTAGTGACTCATTAATCACTTGTAACGGATCATTAAAGACCCAATAACATCAAATAACATAACTGATGTATTAAAACCTAAATAAACGGACCAATGAGGCCATTAATTGGTTATTTACTTCTCGCCGGAGGAAAATTGATTGCATGGACCGCCGGACCAACAAAGTCAGGAGGCAAGTGTTTCCAGTCCCCGGAGGAGCTTCTCAGCTGGCCGGGATTCCAAGCTTGCAAACAAACAGAAACGAAGCTAAAGAAATCCATACCACAATACAGTCAGTTCATTCTCTTACTAGTTCTGCTGGGATTCCAACCAAACAGAAAAAACGTTTAACGAAAGCAAAGATCAAATTAAACTTTTCCTCTTCCTTCAATCAACCAAAACTAAAAGGAAACTGAAAAACTTAATTCAATCCGAGAATAGGATTTTGGTTCCATAAATTTTAGTTTTAAGTTAATCTAAAGGGAAAGGGTGAGCCGAGGGTGAGAGAGGTTTAGCTAGGGTTAATTGCATTGAAAAGGGTATTTTAGGAAGCACAGGGGTATGAGTGTATGAGTGTATCGGGTATTTTAGTTATGTTTTTTCTCTGAACCTGACTAGGAGGTACGTAATGGTATTTGCCATCGCTTGTATAGTATCTAAATCGAATCCAAACGATTATGTGCTACAAATATATGTATTCTACACCCTCTCACTTTACTACCACATTCATCCATTTCTCCGTAGAGGCGGAACTGAGATTTTGGGAGTGTCTCGGTACACTCCTAAAGTTTGAAAAAATATATCGATGGACCCACAGTTATTAGTTTTGAGTTCTCAAAAAATAGTTAATTTTTTTTTTGCTACCATGACTTCAACATAAAAATAATTCATATCGATCACACTATAAATAGTTTTCTGTACAATTATTAAGACTGGATTGAATAACAATTTATTCAATTTTTAATCCAAACACTATTGAGTTTGGTTACTTAGGTGTTCAAATAGAATGATTATCATGGTAACCGTTTTACCGGTAGTATTTGGATAATTTGGTTTGGTTAATAATTATCATTGTAACCATTTGAACATTCTTTAGTTACTCGTTTCTTTTAAGACACTTTAAAAAAATAAGATTTAATTTGTATTATTAGAATATTTTCATTTTAAAAATAAGGGCTAATACCACTAGGAAACCCGAACTATTAACTTTGTGTCATTTGTGTCCTATAGTATTCGATATGACAATTGTGTCCCAAACTATTTTTCCGTTATGGTTGACTGGCGTTGACCGTTAGTTTTTAACAGAAAGTCTAGTCACCGCTCTGATGTGGCATCTGACGTGGAATTTTTATTATTTTATTATATTTATTTTCTCATAAAAATGAATAAACTAACAAAAAGAAATAAAGAAAAGTTATAAAAAAAATCAGATCTGAAGATCTGCATCTCTGGGGAACAATTTCGGCGACGGTCGATGCGAATCCGAGGAGAGTCAACGAGCCAAATCTGTCTCTGCCTTACCTCAGCCGCCGGAGTTCTCGCCGTACATCTTTTAAGGGTCTGGGAGCACTACCGCCGGAATCTGTCTCTACCTTACCTCAGCCGCCAAAGTTCTCGCCGTGCTGAAAGAACTGTGCAATCCGATTCGTCTCTCTCTACTACGAGGATCAGGAAGAATCCCCGCCTGATTCACCGCAAGAAGTATCGCAAATGTAGTAGTAACACTGCAAGAATTCAAAACCCACAACCCCAAATTAACCTATGGAGAAGAAAGATTCCTACTTTGCCCAGCAATTGGAAGAGGAAAAGGAAAACCCCACAAACCTTGGAGCAGTATTTCTGGTGTGGAGTCTTGTCGAATGGAAACTCAGCACAGAGATGCCTAGCATGGGGATAATCTCTACAAGCCACCTTGAACAAAGATTCAAAACCCCAAAAGTACCTAATTCCGAATTGAGCTAATCAAATTTAGGGAAACACGGGGATACGATCAGAGAGGGAGAGAGAGAGAGAGGCGAGAGCGGGGAAAACCCACCTGGCCCTTTTCGGAAATCAGTGCGATGTCGGCATCAGGGGTAAAGTTCTTGACTTTCTGATCGGAGGCGGGCTGATCGTAAGGGTCGAAATCGAGGATGAAGCAGTCCTCAATCGCGTCGAACTTGCGCACGTCCGTGCCGTTCTTGACGTTGAGACAGAATACGGGTCGTACTGGAGTCCCGTCGCTGTTCGAGTCAGATAGAATGACTTCGACGGTCGACGCAGCCACCGCCCCACGAGTTGAAGCAGATCGCGAACGGAGTGGAAAGTGGCTTCCTTGACTTCTTTCGGCAGTTCGACGGAGAGGATAGGGGCGAGGTTGATCAAATAAAGGATGAGGAAGAAGGGATAGGGGTGGGTTTTTTTTTAGGGGACTTTGTTCGGGTATGAAGAGATGAAGAAGAACAGATTATTTTTTATTTTAATTATTAATTTTAATTTAAAAATAACAATATGATGTGGCAGTTGACGTGGCGCATATGTGGCTGCCACATATATGCCATGTAACCAAAAGTCAACATTTTATGGTTGACTATTTGGTCAACTGTTATCTATAACGGTCAACAAAATTGTCAGGACGTAAATGACACACAACTATCATACGTCAGGACACAAATGTCGTATCGAATACTTTAGGACACAAATGACACAAAATTAATAGTTCGGGTTTTCCAGTGGTATTAGTCCTAAAAATAATAGATTATAATAATTTTAATTTTATGAGGAGACACCACTAAATAAAATTTATAAGATCCGCTACTGTCTTTTAAGATTTATATTTATGTCCGAGGACCCAATGTACATTATCTCTCGCTCACTTCTCCCGCACATGAACTTTAAGAAGTTTCAATTTAACATCAAAATCTTAATTAAAAAAATTCTAAAAATGTTAGAAATCTTAAGATGTTGTTTGGGATAGTGCAAGAAGGTTTTTTTCTGTTCTGGTTGCAGGTAGATTTTAATATGTCATATTACATTTCACTCACATTTAATTTCAGAGATTATAACTATTTTAAAACTGTGATGTTTTGAGAATTTTAATATATCATATTGAATCCTATTTACATTTTGTTTCGGAGATTATAACTATTTTAAAACTGTGATGATTTGGGGATGGTATAGAGGAAAAAAATTTCTCCCCTAAACTTGTTGTCATCTCTAAGAAAAGTGGCGGAGGGAGGTGGAAGGGAGTGGGGTCCTAGGACCCCACTTGGATAAATTAAAATGGTTGAATGTATGTACATACTTGTTTAATTTGAGTAGATTTAGAATTTAGAACCCCATTTATATGGAATTTAATTGTCCTGGTATTATGAAACACACAAATAAATTACACTATATTGATAATATATTATTGAAAATCCCCAAATTTAGGATTTTGCTACGGTGACATGGACTTTTCGGTCGACCTAATCCAACATGCGGTCGACCGAACAGACTAATTCATGTATGTGGGGTTCCGAGACGCGGTCGACCTCTTACATAATACGGTCGACCGCTTTGGTGGTCTAACAGAATGAAAGGTCGACCCAAATATCTCATAGGTCGACCCTTGTGCACCTAACAGGTCGACCGCATTATGAAGAGGTCGACCGCCTTCACACCGTATCCGTATTGGATATGGATTCCAACACCAGAAAGGTTCCACAATTGGACAAGGAAACGAATTGGGTTGACCCATTGACGTCCTAAATCTCTATAAATACGAATATAAGTCCCCTTCAACGCCTCCAAGTCTGAATAAGGTTTTTTTCCGATTAAGAGCCTTTGTGAAGAAGATCGTTCGCAGTTGCTGTTGTACGTGTTCTAAGTGGTCGACCAGGTCTAAGGTGAGGTCGACCTAATGTACCATTCGTCGTCTTCTTTTCTAATGCGTGATTTCTACCGGCTAATTTGATATATTGTTGGGTGCAGAATTCCATTCGGTCGACCGTGACGTCAAAATGATCGACCTGACGAGACAACTCTGCGTATTTGAATTTAGGCCACAACACTTGGATTTTTGTACTTGCGAGGTAACCCAATTGGTCGACCTGAATTGTTTCAAGGTCGACCGTTCCTGTTTTTTTGGTTATTCAACCTGAATGTCGACTTTGGCTTTGATTGTATGACTATGTTGTGCTTGAAAAGGTCGACCGCGCCAGATATCTGGTCGACCTATCCTTTTTTCGGTTTAATTTTGAACTTACTTTTTGTTGTTAATTGTTATTTTCCTGCTGGATAGGTTGACCTAGGAATAACAGAGGTCGACCTTAATGGTTGTGGTAGTCACTATTTGTCTTCCAGGTCGACCTAATACTTTGTCAGGTCAACCACGTCTTTGTTTTTTGGTCAATTGTAGAAATTTGTAGTTGAATTATGATTTAAATTTTTCTTGAAATTGTTTAGACAATGAAGCATGATGAGAAACTGCACCAAGATTTGGGTGAAATCATGAAATTGTTGAAAGCCACACAAGAGAAGCTGGTGGTGTGTCAAACACAAGTCAATGACTTTCAGAAGTCCATGCGTGATAGAGTGGAGCAATTGTCAGTTCGACTGACAGATATGACTAGGATGATGCATGACGGGTTTGAGAGGCTAGAAGGTGCTATCAAAGATATAAGTGCAGAACGAATGGAGAATAGCGAAAGAAATGGTAAAGGAAAGAAATTTGACTTTGGTAAAGAGGAAGAAGACCATGATGACTCTGAAAATTGCTACCAGAGCATAGACGATTTATTGAAAGAGCACATTTTAAAGGTATCCAAGTATATTCATATGTGATTGAAGATATTAGTATTACTATCATTAGTGCTAATTTTTTTTGTTTATATGTTTGACAGAGTGAAACAACGAATGGCAGCAAGGGTTCCTCTCCTAAGTACAAGAGACCGCGATATGAAAGTGACTCCTACACCACTCCACAGAAGGATCAATTTGTAAGAAAAGGATTATTTAGTGCTGATAGCGATGAAGATGAATCTAAGAGTCCTTTCGAAAAGCACGGGGTAAGTTTACGTTACATATTCATCTATAATGTGTGTTTGTGTTCATATGTTACTTTAATTTTAACTATGATTTGTAGGTCATGAAAGTGGAGGGTCTAGAAGGATTCACCAAAAATCTTCAAAATCCAGTTGAAGACTTGTATTATGTTGTTACTAAAGAGAAGGCTGGGGACAAGAATTGGGACAAGTAAGACGTTTTTTAGTACGTGTGGTCGACCGTTTAGGTCATGAGGTCGACCGCTTTTCCAATAAGGTCGACCGTGACTGTGAACAGGTCGACCTGTATGTTGCAAATCACAATTGACATTATTGTTATTTTGATTTTTGCAGTTTGACCGTTGTGGACTTTTTTTTCTGAAAACGTGCAACGACGTTATTTGAGTTCGGTCATTAGCGAGAATAACTGGGTTTGCTCATCAGTAAGTACTATCCTACTACGACTTTCGTATGAATTGTGCACTATTTATGTTACGATTTACGATGATTTTGTGTTTGATTGTTGGATGGTAGGTAGTGGATATGTGTGCAAGGGCACTAACAATGTCTGAAAAACATGATGTGAAAGAGCCAAATGTGTGGTATTTTCCAAATATGTTTTCGGTAAGAGCCGTAATGTCAAATTATTTGTCATAACCTAGTTATTTATATTGTACCATGTCAATTCATCTCAACTAAAACATGGTGCAGAAAATGGTACGCGCTAACATGAAGACCAGACAAATTCGTAACAAGTTGATGAATGATGGCGTGGTCTTTATGCCGAATGTCGGTGCATGCCAGAAGGTTAGTCTAGTCAATGTCCCTATATCATTAAATTTCGAAAGTGCATTTGTTTGTATTCGCTGTTTATAACATATAGTGAGTGTTTCGTTGCTAGATATTTATGCCAGTTCTTGACGATGAAGCACGTCATTGGTTTCTGTATCTCGTCAATGTCCAGCAAAAAACTGCATTTTTGCTTGACAGTCTACCTTCAACTAGTGAGGCGAATCGTAGGCGTAAATCAGCACTGTGCAAGAAATTGGTAAGTGTTTCCTATAATTTTCTGACTGTTAAGTGTAACGTATTATGCTAGAAACTTAAAATATTCATTATTTGTGTGTAGTTGTCCAATTTGGATGATATTTTCAAACCGGAGCGCATGAGCAATGTAGGAGTACCAAATTTTGGAGATTTCAATTTTGATGAGCTACGAGTTCAACGGCAACGAAATAGTACTGAGTGTGGTGTGCACGTCATGCAGTGGATGCGCTATGGATCCAAGGATCTTGATAGAGTGGTGAGTATATCGTCAAACAAATAACTTGTTTAATTTACATTTTTTTTAGTTGTAACGAAATCTTACATGGCATAATGCAGATAGGAGAAGAACACAAATTACCGGCTCGAAAGGAGATTCTATGGTATCTGGATACACATTTTGAAAACCTTGCACGAGAAAATCTTTTCAAGCATGTAGTAGATGAATGCATGGAACGAGGCAAAGAGAGACAGAGTTCAAACAAAAAAGCAAAGAAATGAAGTCGTTAGGTTACAATGTTGCATTATTTGGACATACATTGAATTTGTATTTGCGAGATCGTTTCATTTTCGATTTTGAATGTTTATCGTTAATTAGATTTGTTATACAATTATGGATGTGACTGAATTTACGATTTCAATCGTCTAGAACAAGTGGTCGACCACATACTCAAAGCGGGCATACCCAAGGCAGAGCACAGGTCGACCTCGTGACGCTTAAGGTCGACCTATGCTACCGTAGCAAAGTCAAAAAACATGTAGAATATGGATGGAATCTCGTCTGTTTGGCCTTAATAAAATACGGTCGACCATTTCAGTAAAGAGGTCGACCTGTTTCACATTTATAAACAACCGTCGACCATTTGTGTAAAGAGGTCGACCTGTTTCACATTTACCCAAGACGGTCGACCATTTGTGTAAAGAGGTCGACCGTAATGAATCATGTCCTTGTACAATTAGGATTTGTGTACTTGTCCTTGTCGAATTATGAATTTATATAACTTTCACCAATTGGATAAGGAATTCGTCTACATTATCTATAAATAGATGATAGTCTTAAGACTTTATTTGTACTTCGATTTATGCAATTTGTTGGAGTGAAGTTGTAATCTCATCGCTCTTATTGTGATCGGGTGTTGGTGGCGGTTTATTTTTATTCCGGTAGACCGTACCAATAAGTGGTCGACCTCTTTGCTAAGGTATGTCTCGTATGTGCTTGTTAATACTTGTATGTGGTTAAATTTTTCCTACCATCCGGTCGACCACCTTCACCATCCGGTCGACCGTGCTTTTGTAATTATATGATTTGGTCGACCTTTCAGTAAATTCAGGTCGACCGCATGTTTGTTATTTAGTAATAAGGTCGACCGTACAGTTCAGTCAGGTCGACCTGACGAGAGCTAATTGTGTATGTTTTTATGGATGATGAAGAGGTATTCCGATCGTTGCAGGATGGATAACAGAGATGATACAGATGATAGAGATGATGATGAGGTTAACTTCGATGAGGAACCTAAGGATGCTCGAGAAGGAGCTATGGATAATTCAGATGATACAGATAATACGGATGATGAAGTGGTTGGGGATGATAATGAAACGGAGGGTGCTGAAGAAGAATTTATGGATGATGAAGAAGCTACTGAATATGAACAACAAATTCCTTCCATGGAGTTCCAAACATTAGAAGATGCAGAGAAATTTTATGATTCCTATGCTAAAGCGAAAGGATTTAGCGTTCGACGTAGAGATCTTCGGAGGAATCGTCGAGGAGTAGCAATTGGGAGGACAATGGTATGTTCGAGAGAGGGGACTAGAGATAAGATGCATATTGATAAAGAAGGTCGGACTCGACAACATCGTAAGATGACAAGACATTATTGCAAGGCATCGTATACTGTACGCTTTGATCGGAATAAGAAAATGTGGGTTGTTTCTAAGTTTGAGAGGAAGCACTCACATCGTTGCTGCAATGAAGAAGAAACTCAATTCCTTCGGTCTCATCGAAATGTGAGTGAAGGAGACAAGGCTCTGGCGATAGGGATGCGACAGTCAGGAATAAAACAACGCAACATTGTTCAGTTCATGAAGAATAAAGTTGGAGGATATGAGAATCTGGGGTACACTCCAAAGGATTTGGACAATGCTGTTCAGCAATCCCGAACAGTTGACGACGATCTAATAGGAGATGTTAACCGAACATTGGGTTACTTGCAAAGTAAACATACCTCTGATGCAGGCAGCTTCTTCAAGTA